CGCAAATCGAAACAAACAATGACACCAAAAATTATCCATTGTTCAATCAACTACTGCTAAAAGAAATAGACAGAGATAGACAATCAGAATCTTTACAGAGTTTGTTCATCGTTTTAAACTAAAAAAAAAACACGGCCATCACTCAATGAGAATCTCATCCTTTTTTTTTTTGCTTCCCCATATTTATAGGCTTGTATATGCTCCGATGTTTAAATGGCGTGTTGCTATGTCCAGCATTTTTTCCCCGCATCAAATTTGCTCAGCATCGAATCCTTATCGTCATGTAGCAAATACTCAGCATGAATTTCCAAAGCTACAGGAAAGAAGTTTATGTCAAGTCACAGATGCAAATTAACAGAGGTCACAGGTATAGATCACATAATATTCTTAGGTCACATACGCGCATAAGCATATAACATAATATTCTCAGGTCACTAGCATAAATCACATGAAGTGTTGTTCTTATTATTACATATTATTCAAGAAGATGAATTATAATCAACCTTTTATATTTAAATTAGATTATTACCAACCAAAATGAAGAAATAAAATAATTCCACCCATTTAGCACAGGTTTCTGACAGTAGCAGACATAGTAGAATCTTAACATATAAACCAACAATATTATAATTTTTACTCTCTATATAAGATAACATAAAACATGGACAGAAATATCTAAAATGCACTTTTTCCCAAATCCATAAAAATTTCACTCAAAAAAGTAACTGTACAATCACAATGCACGATAATATCAGTAGATAGTTCTCCAGCCATCACCCAAACGGATCCAAAAATACATTTCGTACATGTTATATCACAAATCCAATTTAAGTTTCAAATTACACGAATCAATAAGCCTAAAATTAAATTCCTATTTGTAATTCAATATTTGCCCCAAAAAAAAAAATCACTAGCACACAAAAAATAAAATCAAAGAAAATCGTGGATAAAAGTCAATGCACTCTACCATTTTTTGATCTTTTCCTCAAGATGCTGTAAAAATTAGGAATGCTAGGAATGTAATCAGTAAGGAGAATCCGGATACCTCTGGAATGGCCATTCAGAGCAACTAAGTGCAGTGAAGTTCCTCCATGAAGATAATCGGCTTTGTGGATCTAAAATTCAAAAATATAATAAGTTGTGACCTTAGCCCAGAAAATAGATTG